AAAAAAACATTACATCATATTTTGTGACAGCGCCCTCTGTGTTGAATTTTGATATGAATGTTAAACGTGAAGTAAGCAGTGAAAATGTGACTGACATTTTTATTTTAATTAAAAAAAAATGAGAACCACTAAAAATTAAAATTCCATGTTTTTGGAGTTGCTATATAGATAGCGTGCCCCCAAACCAACTAAATTCATCGCCAATCCAGTCGTACGTTACATGTTATATATATGTTACAACATTGTTTATGTTTGTCCATACTTGAACACATCAACCAAAACACTAAGTGAATGGATTTACTTTTGAATATAGAGGTTATTAGTGAAACAACGTGTGTAGTCCCTTGTTTATTTTTTGTTGTTTTTTCAATAAAATAACATGTTATGGGAGTGTATAAATGGCGAAAGCCGAGTCGGCACGAAAATCAGGTTACTACAAAGAAAAAACAAAGGATTTGTGACCCTTGCAGGGGTTCCCTTGCTGTTAATATTATTGAGTGTTTCAATGACATCACACATTGGTGTAATTTGCATATCACATGAAAAAATAAACAAGGGACTGTGTAAGTCTAATACTGTGGAATACTTTATTTCCGCTGGAATTAATTTTCGCTGAAAAGGCTTTTTGGGTGTTTTGCTTGGAATTTATTTTCACTGATTTTTCGCTGAGTTTAATGTGAAATATAGGGAAAAAAGTATATTCGCTGGATTTTATTTTCACAGAATCATCCCTTCAGCGAAAATAAAGTATTCTAGTTATATACTACATGTTTTATGTGCTTTGTATTGTGGGGGCATCATAGTAGGTATTTTCACCACCAGACTTTCTCGTCCATTTTTTTTCTGCACTTTTTTAATATTTCTGGAAACGAACCCTAATTTTGGGACCAGCAGACAAAATTTGAGTCAACTTTCAGTTTTTACTAACAATTTGGCTATTTTTGTCCCAATTTTCTGCTGACTATTTTTGAATTTTCGATGTAAATAGGAAACTGGTGGTGAAAAGAGTCAAGCAATATGTGGGTATGGTCATCATAGTCTTTCATGTTATTAAGGTGTTCATATTCTAATTATAATGGAGTCTTGAGGGATTAAATGGGCACATTACATAATTTGTACATAATCATCACCTTGGAGGTGTAAATTAATTTTCGCTGTCTACATTCGTAGAAGCTACATCATGACCAGGTACTTAGGAATACATGCTTCAAGCGATCCTCTATTACTTTTTGAATAGGATCTGGTCCTGAAAAATGTTCTCATGACAACCCACCTACAAAGAAATGTAGAGATCTCCATGCATACTCTAAAAGTTCTGAAAATTTTAATCTAATAACGTGACATTTGAGAACTGATTCTGTGGGATTGTGAGCTTTTATATTTGGAAAAATATTGTATTCGGTCTATCTACAATATAAGTGTATTTACCAGATGCACTTCCATCATTTACATAAGTACATGATAGAGCAAATACAGTAAACAACAGAAGCCACAATCAGTTGTGTAATGTAAAATACTTTATTTTAGCTGGAATTAAATCTCGCTGAAAAGACTTGTTGGGTGTTTTGTATGGAATTTA